TTTTGTCGAGTGGATGTTAAATAATAATGGCATAATTTCGGAGAGTGTACAATACAGTTTTAATTGCATTTCAAGATGTTAAATCGCAGGGTAAAGCGCACAACCACCCGTTGAGCCAACGGATGGCTTGCGGATTTGAAAGGAGGCATTGATTGCATTAAAAGTGTTGCGTGCCAGTTTTGGAACAGAATACATAATGTCCATGATGGTTACGTGCATCTATTGGTTACCTGCTTAAAACACCATCTATCAATATGAGCAAACCTGCATTCATCTCAATTGGGAGCCTCGGATTCAATCTTGATCTTGGCCATGCCACTATAAACACTTTGAGACGAGCCTTATGGGTCTCCTGCTCCTTTCTTTTCAGATGAATTTGCAGCCCTGGCTTAGTGCCCAGATCGTAAAAATAACACGTTGATGTTGTGGCTCACCACGTGGAAAGCAAAGCAGGTTAAACTACGTCTTTAATATCCCAATGTCATTGACCATGGGCCTGTCTTGGGGTGAAGCAGAGAAAGCTGCTAAAGACCGCCCGGCATGGCGTGAGCTGTTTGCGGCCTTAAGTTCCACAGGGAGCGAAGAGGCGTAAGTAAGTAAGTACCGTCTCCTGTCTGCTTGTCGCAGCTCTTATTGGAGAAGTTGCGAGTGCACTCGTTCATCGTTCCCGCTTGTGGAATGTCCCCAACACTCGGTGTTGTCGGGGGGGGGGGGGGGGGCAGTTTATAGCCCCCCCTCCCTCCCTCCCCTTTTCCGTCGTCGTGCTGCACACCGCTATTGATTGTTCCCTCGGCTGTTCAATCAAACGTGTGCGACATTGGGACAAAATGCCTTCCCCTCTGCACGGCGGCGTGACACCATGCAGCAGCTTTCTTGTACGCCGCACTTTGACCCCGTTTTATGTATTCGGTTGCACCAGGCGTGCTTTGCGTCGGTTTCTGCCCCCTGTGTGCGGTGAATGGTGATTGAGTTTTGCCCCGATAATCAAAACAAATCCACCGCTAATCAGCTAATGCACTTCGTCTTCCTGTGAGACCTGACTGTGAGATATATTTTGTCTACACAAGTGGCTCTTAATATCAATGTATTTTTTTCTGGTTTATATTGGTCAGAGGTGGGCTGTCTGATATGGGAATACTCCATTAATTCCTCCACAAGCAGAGCACCCGTTTTTATTCTGCTGAAGGTGACGTCGTCGCTCTTCTTCCAGAATTTTAAGTCGCCCGTCAAAAAAAAATAACTCTTCCGATTTGTCTCTTGAATTCATTCCCACAACCCCCTTGCATTACGCACATTGTGTTAGTCCCGGGTCGCCCTCGCAAAATAGGTGGCACGGTTTCATCGGTCTCATTGAAGATGCTTGAACTTGTGCGACCTGACTTCGGTTCAGAGCTGCGGCTTCCCCCTTCACCGATCCACACTGACCAGCGCGGTGAAGTATGGTCAAACAACCCTCGTGACTGACAGAGCACAGGGAGGCTTCATCCAGCAGTTAATGGACAAAGTATTGTATATCATTATTATTATATATGTATAAAAAATTTAAGTTACAATGTTCTTTGCTGGAGCGTGAAAAATAATTTCCAAATGTGGCTTGACGCAAATCGCCCACTATCTTCCTGCCAGAACGCTCATTGAGCAACATCAACATTTGTCTCAACGCTTGGCTAAGAATTGATGAGTTGATAATGAGGGCCCACCGTGGCAGGCGGCCGATGGGGTTGTCCGAGCGGTCCGTCCCGCATGTGCCACTTGGGCGACTGTCACCGAGACAGTGTCTCGTCCCTCCCCACTGCTGCTCGGGAGTTTTTCAGGGATTTCTGCAGGGCGCTGTTGTTGTTCTGAGACGTTGTCTCGTCCTTCCACATTTAGAAACCTGCGTTCAGAGCGTTTTAGAGTTTTTGGCTGCTATAAATGTCCACCGGATGAAGCCACTTTCGTTGAATTGTCATTTTTGTGGCCAGGTCCCTTCTGAAAATAAGCTATATATCTCAGTGGGCTTTACCTTGTAAATAAGAAATAGTTTTCTGAAGCTGGTGATCTGCCCTGTGATAAACGCAAATAACGCAATGATACTATACGAATCATAATCTTGTTTTATACTAGAGGAATCCGATGAGCTATAAAGCTATTTTCACAGACGTCCAGTACTATGGTCACTCACGAGTGTCGTACAATGTGTGCAGGCGTCACGGCCCAAATATTAACTTCGAACTCTTCCTGCTCTCTTACCCCTCCGTTCCGCGATCGATGCTTTGCACCGCGCTCGTGTTGAGTTGTAATATAAAAAAGATATACATTTAATGTTTAAACTTTATTAATGTGGTGTTGACGCAGACAAGCATTCTTTAGCTCTCTCAGAGTTTTAACAGATGAGTTAACGGGCCTGTCTTCAATTGAGCAAGGTTATAAGAGCTTGGGAAAAGAGCCATGGGAGGGGAAAGACTCCCAAAAATGTTCTGACCGTTGCCACATTTGTTGGAAAGATTGGCACATTCCTCGAGTATATTTGCTAACGGGGGAAGACAAGTCCCCAGGCAGGAGATGGGAAGGCGCTCAAATTCAAAAAGCAGGTTCGTGACTCACCGGACTTGCCCGCGGGCAGCAAATGGCCATTCCAGGGGGCTTCCCGTCATCGATGAAGGCGTGATCTCTGTGTGATCCGCCAATCTCACTGCCCTACGCATTGCTGGGTTATGGGTGTAGCATCGCCACCACACCCAGAGTTTTGCCTTTTTTTTGTCCATGTGTTTTATATTAAATACACGACAAGCATCAAATTATTCTTACCGGCCTAAGGGAAGGTACAACCAAAACACATTTGGAGTTCTTTTACTTATATTAATCCAAGGCAGTGGCAGTTGCAATCCGCTTGTGAAATTTGAAGATGTCCGATTAACGTCTCAAACCTTGGCACCCTGCTACAGGTTGGCGTGCAGCTATTACGATTTTCAGCTGCCCCTCTGTGCGTCGGGTTCCATTGACGAGCATGCATAGAGTGGGGCTCCCAGCGTGCACTGCATGTCGTCATGTGGTCGGGATCTTGTTAAGGCTGTACGGGGGGGGGGGATGTTTGTGTTTGGGATCTTGGGGGTCTCGTGTCATGCGAGGGGGATACCCGTGCAAGGCCACTGGAGGGCGCGGTAAGCGGTACGCCTGGAGGTCACAGGTCAAGAGGAAAAGTCAAAAGTGATTTCTGGCTCTAGTTAGTATAGAGATGGTGGTGTTCATCTCCAGTTTACGGCCCTCAAGCCAGTGGCGGAAATTCCACATTCCAGTGGCGGGGGACGAGGCTATCCATAGGACAGCCGCTGTTTACTTCCCCACACAATGGTAACCCCGGGTGACCCCGGGTGGATGATTGGTTGTCAACACCCAACCGTCCCTCCCGATTATTTAATTTAATGTTAAGTGCCTGATAGGTATGGATCTACCAAAGAATACGTAATTTTTATTATTCGTATGAACAGCCTAATTAAGCTTTGCTGCGGCCGTTTATGTGGAAGTGGTGGTTGTGTGTGTGGTTGTAGTGGTTCTCGCAATGTACTACGACTATTTACTATTATATACTATTTTATTTTAACAGCTGTGTAGCTCTTTTTCAGAAGCGACCTGGCCGCAAATGATAGCGCAACAAAAGTGGCTTATCATGTAGAAAGTTATAGCAGTCAAATATACTTAAGAGATAGAGTTTAGGAATCGGGTTTGGGGTCATAGGTTAGGGTTTTGGTTTACGGTTAGGGTTTAACTTAGAATGTATGGTTTGGCTTTAGCGATTAACATCCAGAGTTAGAACCTGGAGACCTGAGTTTGATTTCCGATCACGGCCACCACCAACGCCAGTGGCGATTATCTGACCTGGACCTGGGCCTCCTCGAGATTGACTCAGGCCCACATGCTGTGTAGTAAACATCGCCACTGGGTGGGACGAAGGCGGCCGAGCGGGCGTGGTGCTGGCCACCCACCACCTTGTGTGCTGTGCTGGCCTTCATAGGCGCTGATGCTATTCGCTCACAGCTCTTGCCCCAACAGTCTGTTAGAGGCTACACGGGGGGATATTTGAAAGCTTTGATGATGAGGGTTGTGTTGATAGTGGTGATGTTCTTAGCTACAATGATGTCATACTGCCATCACTGTTCACCCCGGAGACCAAAGTTCATTTCCCGCTCGCCATCAAAATCGGTGACAGATATCTGAACTGGTCCTGAACTTCCTGTAGGTCAACTCGGCCTTAAATGAGTACCAGGTGTGGTGTGTAAACAGCATTGGGGAGTCGAAGGCAGCCAGGTGTAGTGCTGGCCACCCACCCCCTCGTGCCGTGCTTCCTTAATAGGTGCTCGCTCACAGCACTTGCCCCAACAATTCGTTAGAGGCTATGCTGGGGGATATTTGTCTTTCTATGCACATTCACTGTGGAAGTGGTGGCACATGTGAGTGTGCGTGTCTGTATGCGCTACCACAGCTCGCTTGGTGTAATGCTCCGCTGCGTAGGGCATCCAAAGAGGACGTTTAATATCACGTTCATAACATAATTGGTGATAAAAAAAAAATCTCCTTAAAGTCGCCCATCGCAAAAAATAACTAATTACAGTCACACCACGTTTCCATTACCACCAGATTAACGATCAGATGGTGTGTAATGGTGTAGGTGATCCGAGCGAGCGTTAGCCACATTTTCACGGTGGCAAGCACCGTCCTCCATCCTCTAACGCCGCAACCAGGAATTACCGCAGTTCTGGCTGTTGCGGTTGATGGCGCCGTCGTCGCCGTTAGTTCACCATTGTAGTCGCCCCTTGCATCGTTCGGACTGACGCGCCTCATGGGAGGGCGGCGGGGGTTGCCGCTCTCTCCATTTTCGCCCGGCGCAACGCCAATCAACTGGGGCGACCCCTCGCCGCACTGCCCCGTCCGCGACGTCCGCAGGGCTGCGCGTCTCGTAACGCGGGCCCGAGAGAGCGTGTCCTCACGGCGCGTCTCCCCCACCCTGTGTCTCCTCGCAGGCTGGGATAAGTACTCGTACGGTTACCATGGCGATGACGGGCACAGCTTCTGCTCGTCGGGCTCGGGGCAGCCGTATGGCCCCACGTTCACGACGGGCGACGTCATCGGCTGCTGCGTCAACCTCGTCAACAACACGGCCTTCTACACGAAGAACGGGCACAGCCTGGGTGGGCGTGCATGCGCGCGCACGCACGCACGGTCTGTGGTGATGTGGCCCGCGTGGAAGTGGTGTGTGACGGGTTTGGTAGTTGCGTGGAGGTAATGCGGCCGGAGTAGTGGTAATATCGGACAAACAGCGGTGATGTGACTGACACGGTAATTGTGCAGAGGTAGTTTCAGTCTGGTCTACTTGGCTGAAATTGTTACCAGATATCGGTGTGTGGTTTTTACACAGTGAGGCCTGTTCCTTTAAAGCTATGTTTAGAGTGCCATAGTGTCGTACCACCATTCTGGCGCGTTTATTTCCGTTTCCGTACCAGGTACCGAAACTGGAAAAATCTTCGCGCATTCTGTGGTCCGATTCAATCGTGAGGATGTTGTTTCATTACTGAGGAGAGAGAGTTCGTGATTCCGTAACCCATCCCCGAGATTTCAGTAGAATTGTGTAACCGTTGGAGCGGCAGCAGCGGCGGTGGCGCCGGCGCCGCCTGGGTTTACGCATCGCGCGACAAACCCCATGACCCCGGTTGGTTTCCCAGCCACGGCTGATATTCGCGGCAGGTGATGTCTGAACATTTGTCTGGGCACCCCCCAAACACCCCCTCCCTTCACCAGCCGACACTGCTATGCGTGGACAACAAGGATAACCAGATAACTCCCACTCGAGGCTTTCACCCAGTAGTCGATTGAGCATGGGCAGTAGAAATAAAGTCCGTTTACGTGAATGAGTGATGGCTGTTTTGAGGCTCGGTGTGTCATGTAGTGCGTTTGTTTGTGTTGGTGGAGCGGTGTGTTTGTGTTGGTGGAGCGGTGTGTTTGTGTTGGTGATGCGTTTTGTGTTGGTGATGCGTTTGTGTTGGTTATGCGTTTGTGTTGGTGGAGCGGTGTATTGGTGGTGTGTTTGTTTGTGGAGCGGTGCGTTTGTGTTGGTGGAGCGGTGTGTTTGTGTTGGTGATGCGTTTGTGTTGGTGGAGTGGTGTATTGGTGGTGTGTTTGTGGAGCGGTGTGTTTATGTTGGTGGTGTCTGTGTTGGTGGAGCGGTGTGTTTGTGGAGCGGTGTGTTTGTGTTGGTCATGCGTTTGTGTTGGTGGTGTCTTTGTTGGTGGAGCGGTGTGTTTGTGTTGGTGGTGTGTTTGTGTTGCTGGAGCGAGCGGTGTGCTTGTGTTGGTGGTGTGTTTGTGTTGATGGGGTGGTGCGTTTGTGTTGGTGGAGCTGTGTCTTTGTGTTGGTCTAATAGCTGCTTTGGATCCCATCTGCTCCCGTGTGCTATGTCTTACACGGCACTTGTTCCTCCAGTTATTCTGATAAACAGGGATGAAGTGTGTGTTTGTGTCTGTGTGCGCGCATGTGTGTGTCTACGGTGCGGGAGGGCAGTGGATAGCGCACTAAGCTATGAACCTGGCGACCCGAGTTTGCTTCCCACTCATGGCAAACATCACTGATCAATATCTGAACCAATTATGGGCTTCCCCTACATCAAATCCACTTGAAAATAGCATCTGGTGTGTTGTGTAAACATCAGCACTGGGGAGACAAAGGCGGCCGAGCGTGGTGCTAGCCACACCGCCCCTTCGTGTGCGGTGCCAGCCTTTGTAGGTGCCCACTAACAGTACTTGCCCCAACAGTCTGCAAGGGCTATACTGGGAGTCTTTGCCTTTGTGTGTATGCGGTGGATGCTTGTAAGCCATCTGTGCTGACATTTCTTTGTCTTCCATCCACCTTCTTCCCATCCCTTCCGTAGGAATTGCCTTCACAGACCTTCCGGTGAGCAGCGTTGAACCTCGGCACAACTTTAGTTTAATTTCAGACGCCTTTATTATTGCAAATGGGGCGTTCAGTTAGACTGTAGAATACTGCAGGGTTTGCCACTCGTCTGAATGCGAAAGCCACTCAAAAATGACTCCCTAAAAAAATTCATAGTCGGTTGAAAACAAGCCCTAACTCGGGTAGTTTCCGGCACCATGTATAAATACGGAGCTCGCGATTCCTCAAAGGCCACTACCTAGGCAATGGAAACACCCCACTGATTGGTCGGTATTAAAAAAATGTGTAAGTGTTGAGTCATTGGTGTTAAATGTAATGACGTGTGTATTCGATATACCCTGCGCAGTGCAATGTGCAACTCCACTGCCATGTATGACACTGCTTGCATAACAACGTGTTAGCTCGATTGCCGCTTGTACACATCCCACTGGGAAACATTCATCTGCAAGCCCCATCGGCTAGTCACACCGAATGTGGTTTAATTTCAGCAATTAAATCGACGCCTTTTTACCTCTCGTCGTATATACCCCAAAGGAGCAAAACAAGTGACAGAAAAGTTGTTGAGGAGGCTAAATTGTCACATGTCCGGAACGTGCTTCTCACGGCGCATCTTGCAAATTCTGTCGGAACGTGACGCGGTTGAAGATCACCAGGCGATGGAAGTGGGGGGGGGGAATTGAAGGCCAGAGGGCCGTGGGGCTGATACTGAATCGTGACTTTTCACCGTCAAAGTTGAGGTCCAAACAAAACATGACTCCCATGGATCTTCGGTTAACCTGCCAACATTAACCCCTATTCATAAGAGTTTTTTTTTATTAAATCGCATTTGTTTTTGGGCAATCTTTGGAACTGTACGTGTATAGTGCACTGCAACTTTAATGGGGAGCGTATGTATTATCAGGATAAAAACATCTCTGCGTTTATAAGTTTGCAGGGCATTGCTCATGGAAGTAATAGTTTTGGAGTATAGATTTAAACAACAAAAATGCATATTCTTGGGTCGTTCGGTAAAGTCACGTAGATCGGTTCAAAGAAAATAATAAAAAATAACCAAAAAATTAAGACGACCGCTTGTGTTGCGATGGAAACGTAGTTTTTTGTTATTTTTTGTTATTTTATTTGAACCGATCTACGTGACTTTACCGAAAGACCCAAGAATATGAATTCCTGCAGTCACGAAAGTTTTAAGTCAAAAATAATTGTAGGAAATTGGTATCAACCTTCTCAGAAACTTAATCTGAGCAATTCTTTTAACAAAAAAAAATATCGTTAATGTTTTTCGTGGCAATACCTGCTAAATCCCAAAATCCATATACTGGCAATCTTCCACAACTTGTTAGATTGTTCTGGATCTATTTCTAGTGACATCACTCACAATTTGTGGACTTGTTTTTTGAAAGGTGAGAATAAAGCTTGGGGGGGGGGGGGTATCATCATCTGCTCACCCACAGACACTGGTTCAGTCATAGCCTGCCAGAGATGTTGTTGGGTGAAGCCGAGGGCGGTCGAGGAGTGCCCTGTCTGGCTTGTCCAGCCCAGTTCACTTCCTGAAGCCCAATCTTTTTTCGATTTAAAGCTTTCGTGACTGCAGGGATTCATCTTCTTGGTTCTTTCGGTAAAGTCACCACGTAGGATGGAAATAAAATAATTAAAATAAAACATAATAAAATAAAATTCTCATGACGTTTCGGCCACAACACAAGTAGCCTTCTTCAGGTGAAGGAACAGAACTGTCGGGACTACAGCGCTTCAATGAACACTGCTAAGCTTGGCAGCGTCTTTTAAGCTGGGTGGGAGGAGCAGAGCGCCTTGTTTTAGAGTCGCGGCATCTCTTTAGAAAGGTGAAGAGACTCGTGAAGCGATTAACATGGGGTGAGCTATACAGTACCACCACTGCTATTCATTGGCGTAAAATAAAATAAAATGTTTCGCTCCGGATGACGCTGCAAAGTATCATCTGTATTTTGATTTACCTTGCTGATCTTAAAGGTGCATTGAAAAATTTGATACAGCGACTGATGCTTCTGTTGTTGTGGAGTAACTCATGCAGCCAGCTATGGCTCTAGGATTTGGTGTTACATGTTATTTATGTAGTTTATTGTAAAAATTCGATCACAGTCCCTATGATCACTGTTACGTTGCAATTATGGCTTTATTTTTTGGTGATTTCGAAAAGTTTTTTGGTTTGGACATGTTTGTTTGTTGTAGTACGGAGTTAGACTGATGGCCTTAATCTAAGTTTTATTGTGGTGGTTGTTGTTATTTGACTTGCATCCCACTGGGATTTTTTGCACACAGCGTTGGTGTACGGTGCTTTTTTCAGGAATATTTTGCTGGTTTTTTCATGTATTTTCTGTTTGCACAGTCACATAGTCACATTAAGATGTTTTTCTTGTTCGTGTTTTTGTTTGTTGTTGCGGGTGCACCCGATTCAAGAGCCGAATGGCTCACAGGGCTATACCAAAATAAATAAACTGAACTGAACCACGAACACCTGCGCAGTCACCGTACATGTCTCCAACCTCCGTCTCTTCTCCATTCCTTCCCTTCTCCCCGCCATCCATGCCCTCCCCCTCCCATGCCTCTGTTCCATCCTGGCTTGCCCGGCCCTTGCAGCCCAACCTGTACCCGACGGTGGGGCTGCAGACGCCGGGCGAGGTGGTGGAGGCGAACTTCGGCTCGCGGCCGTTTGTCTTCGACATCGAGGACTACATGCGGGAGTGGCGGTCGCGCATCACGGCCGCCGTGGAGCGCTTCCCCCTCGCGCAGCCGCACGGGACCTGGCAGATGACGCTGCAGACGTACGTCACGCACGGCACGCACGGACAACAATCCCGGGTGTGGTCTGCATGGACTGTAGGTACAAATGCTGTTAGCGAGCAAATCATGAAGGTCGGCACGGTGTGCCGAGGGGGTGGCGTGGCTACTATCAACGCCTGGCCGCCTTTCCCTCCCCAGCGCCTGTATTGGTAGATGCTGACTTGACGCAACCAATGGGAGGCCCAGGACTGGTTCAGATAATCACCGCTGATGTTATCTGTGAATGGGAATCGATCCCAGGTGGCCAGGTTTGTAGTGTAGTGCACAAACTGCTATACCAGCACTTCAACTTGCACACACGTACACGCACTTATGCGCTCTCCTGCATGCACCGCAGCGATCGTAGACCGGCAGTGGTGCCGAGTGAAGCCGAAGTGGTCCTTAAGTGTCCTGGCCAGTTTGCCCAAATCCATTCTGCGCAGGTGGCGATGGGGAGGGAGAGGCGTGTGCGTGGTGCCATGTGTGCGTTGTGGTGCGCGGCCTGCAAGATGGCGCAGTAGTACCCGCACTGTGCTACAACCGCATGAACCTGGCGTGTACGTCGGTGATGAGCGATGTCTGAACCTGCCCTCGGCCTCCTCCCCTTAGTTGAATCGGCCTCAAAAGGGTTGTGCCTGGTGCGGTGTATCAACATTTTTCATTGGGAGACGAGTGACATCTGAAACCTATCTGCCTCCCTTTGCTTGGCTCAACATTAAGCGAGTGCCTAGTGCCGCATTTAAACATTGCCACTGGCCACACGACGGCGGCCAGGTGTGGTATTGGCCACGGATGATGATTGAAGGAGCGTGGAGATCGCAATTTCCCGGTTGTATTGTTTGCCTTGTGCATTTTCAAATGTTCGACGCGAGGTGTAACCTTGGGTGCTTTGAGTTGCCGAAGCGCCACGTAAACGCAACTGTTATTATTATTATTATTGTGTGGGCTGTGCACGGGCTGTGCGGTCCGGTATCGTGGCGCGTGTGCCATTACGCCGTTGGTTTTTCGCCGTGGTGGTGTGGGCGCTCGCGTGGCACAGCATGATGGCCTCCTACCTGGTGCACCACGGCTACTGCACGACAGCGGAGGCGTTCGCCCGCGCGACCGGGCAGGCCTTCCAAGAGGAGCTCTCCTCCATCAAGAATCGGCAACGTGAGTGCCTCCCAGTGCACAGTGCGCAGCACGGGAAATTGGTGGTGCGTGCACAGGGCACGCGTCTCACATGCAGTGTAGCGGTTAGTGCGCTACACCACGAACCCAGTCACCCGGGTTCAATTCTTGCTCAAGGCCAATTGTAAACATCGCCTCGAGGGAGACAAAGGCGGTCGGGCGTGCTGCTGGCAAGCCACACACCCTCATCATGCGTGCCGGCCTTCACCGGTGCTCGTTAACGGCACTTTCCCAAAAAGTCTGTTAGGGCTATACGGGGGATCTTGGTCTTTGTTCGTGTCTCACATGTTGTGTTGAACAGGTAGTGCATCTGCCAGTCATCTCACAGGGTTAACTCCCCCCTCCATGCGTACGTACTAAATGTATGGCCCCTCGCCTCAAAGTGCACCTAGCCTGGCACAAGCGCTGTGGTGATGTCACCACCACTGAGTGGCAAATGGCGGCAGCTTTTGCCTTCTCGAATGCAGCTGGTGCCATCTGTGTTGTGTGTGTCATGCGGATCGTTTGTGTTCTTCAACAAAGACTTTGTGCTGCTGCTGTCTACATGAATTGCACGCATTTTATTACAACACTCGTTGGGATAGCACACAGGCGCTATTGATTTCCGACCCCAGCCGTTTTTCTGTGAACCCCGTTACCCCGTGTACCCCCACCCCTACCGACCTGGGGACCCCGGGCTGGCGTTTCTGCAGGGAGCATGCATTCTGTCCCAGGGTTTATCGTCCACACTACTGCCTCGCTCTTTGGACACAAGATGCCAATCTGCTCGTGCGCGCACACGCACGGTGTATTTTTGGTCGCCTATTAAAAGCGAACGGCCTGGTGGATTATTTTAACGATGCGCGAGTATTCCTCGTTTGAGGTCATGCGGCATGCGTACGGATGAGCCTGCAAATTAGCATCCGTGTTTTGCGTGTGTGTGTATGTGTGTATGTGCTACAAACCTGCCGACCCGAGTTCGATTTCCACTCACGGCCAACATCAGTGACGATTATCTGAACCGGTTCTGGGCCTCCCCTAGGTCGATTCGGCCTCAAATAAGTACCTGGTACGATGCGTAAAAATATCGCCACTCGGGAGAGAATGGCGGCTGGGCGTAGTGCTGGCCCCTCGTGTGCCGTTCTGGCCTTCATAGGTGCTACTCGCTAACAGCACTTACCCCAACAGTCTGTTAAAGCTATACGGGGGATCTTTGTCTTTGTGCATGTGTGTGTGTTAACATTTCATATTCACCAGTTTGCTCTTGGTGGACGTTTGAACAAATAGTATCGTACCCTATACTCCTTGTATTGTGCGCGATCAGCTGATTGTGCCGGTGGCGAGGTCAGGCTGTGGTGGATACCTCAGCACCCTTGTGAGGCTTACACAGTGTTCTGGGTGTTCAGCCTCAGCATTGTTTTTAATCTTGGCATGCAGTGGTTTGCACTGCGTAGCCTTGGAAATGCAGCGTCTCATTCACATGAGACAATTTACCTTATTTAATCCGGAAGACACCGTTTGCTTGTTCTTGTTGTTTATATGTATATACGTTATGCTTGCGTGTTTTTAAATAACAGATTCTTAAGCCAAATGTATCCGCTCCTCTGTGCTCAATTATGGAGAACCCGGGTTCAATTATATTGTTTATTGTTGTAGCTTGCTGACACACACCCACTGCTTCATAGCTCATCGGATTTCTCCTTCAGTCTAAATACTGATTCCGATTCTGAATTCCAGCAGACAACTGATCACCAGCATTGGTTGGGCCTTCCAACCGCTGTGCAAGTGGTAGGCCTCGCATGTCAGCGGGCCAGATGCAACGAAGGCCCGGTCACGGCCTCCGGGTGGTGGGTTCCTCGCCCGCAGTCGGCGAGACTAAAGCGTGAGACGTTGGTCTGCGTGCGTGCGTGCGGGTCACGTGCAGGCATTCAGAAGCTGGTGCTCTGTGGGAGGATGGGAGAGGCCATCGACACGACCCAGCAGTGCTACCCGGGCCTGCTTGACCGCAATCCGGAGCTGCTGTTTCGCCTCAAGTAAGGGGGCACGTTGCGTCTCTCCACCGCGCCGCCAGATCCCGGCCGCGCGCAGGCCATCAACGCTCTTGGTTTATCTGCGGCCTCCCGAGGGTGGAGACTGTTTTCACGAGCTCTCGGCCATGGGACGTTTGGCTTGTGTCCCGCCGAGCGATTTCTCTGTGCGAGCGGCAAGCGTAGCGGGGTTAGTGCGCTGCGCTACGAACTAGGCGACCCGAGTTCGATTCCCTCTCACGGGCCACCCACCGCGTCGTGTGCCGTTCCGACGCTCAGACGAACAGCACTTGCCCCATCAGTCTATTAAAGGCTACACGGAGGATCTTTGTCTTTGTGTGGCAAGTACATCCGGAGGAAAACCCATTCAGAAGTGGCGTTTGCAATATATTCCATGCGGATTGGCTTCTGCTGTCTTCACATTAACCCTGCCCTCATCTTCATCCGATCGTCGCTCCAAAACGCCACTCAAACGTCTCACTGGCTTCCCTCCCCACGGAATCGCGAGTGTTTGTTGCGTAATCCATGCCTATGCTGGGAGGCGTCCGCCGGTTGTTTAACTTACTGTGGATGAGAGGTTTTTCTCATAGCCGAAGGTACATTCTGCAGAAAGATAGGAAGACATTAGGATATTGTGTTGAAACAGATTATACAATTGTGTTGTCAGCCCAATTATTATTGTTGTTGGACGGGTGCTGCAATAATCAATTTCTCATTGTTGTTTGTGCCGTCGTTGCGGTTAGGGGGAGAATCCTACGCCCACACCGGATCCCAGCAGTGTCAACTCATTGCTTAGCATTAGCCTCTTCTGGCCATACAAAAATAATTGTATTTATAGAAGGAGAACTTAATCCTGTCAAATTGTTTTCCTTTTGCCATCATTAGTATTATAGGATAGTTGGTGTAAGTTGTAGACTGGTGTTTTGAGTGAAAAACACAATTTTAGAACCAATAATCCTGGTCTCACAATGGACTCTCCTCTTGTTGATTAGCGCACTGTCCACCAGTCCATGACGGGCCTCCAGGTGGTCTGTGGAACAATGGATATCCAGCTTGATCCCGAAATAATATTTTTGCTTCGGGCATTAATTCATATTTCACTCATTTAATTTAAAAAAAAATTAACTCAGATAAAGTACGCTGATTTCCACCACGGAGGCAACTGTAGAGATCCCGTATAGAGGGTATTTGGCCTATTCTTTCACGCCGGGATACATCTTCCGTCACGTTGGAGCTAATTTAGCAACGGCCTTTCATGTGGGCAGCACTTCCAAGTGATGTCTGCGTCTGCCAAGAGATCCCCGTAGCCTCGGCAAGCCCCCGCGGCTTCGTAACAACCGGTCCCACGCGCCGACCGCCGTGGCTCCAACCACGTGTGTGTGTCCCCATCCCGCGTGCCGTGTCCCCCAGGGTGCGGCAGTTTGTGGAGATGGTGAACGGCACGGACAGCGAGGTGCGCTCCCTGGGCGGCGTGCGCAGCCCGAAGTCGCAGGAGCCCTACCCGGCGAGCCCTCTGCGCTCCTGCCACACGCCGGGCTCGAGCCCCGCGCACGCGCAGGTCGCGCCCGTCACCGCCGCCGCCGCCGCCGCCGTGACGACCGCCGCGGCCGCCGGTGCCGCGCCGGTGCCGCGCCCGGCCACCTCCTCGTCCTCGTCCTCCTCTTCGTCGTCCTCGTCGTCCTCCAACGGGGCCTGCACGCACCCCCTGAGTACGCGCCTTGGCGCGTGGGCCCGGGCGCACGGGGCACGGTGACGTAGGTTTGTGGGGAGCTACGGCGCAGGCCGCGCCGGTGGAGCTCTGAGCTCCGAGCGGGAGTGGTGGCGCAGCGCCAAGCTGTGACCGCCTAGGTTTGATTCCTGGCTATGCGTAACATCGGTGGCAAGTGCGGCCGGGCCTCTCCTGCGTCAAATGGACCTTGAGTAGGTTCATGGCGTGGGTTGTGAACAACAGCACTGGGAGACGATGGTGGCCGGGCATGGCCACACCACTTCCCTTTTTTCCATGTCTGCACTCATAGTTGCCGCCCCCGCTCACAGCGGTTTGACCCTCTTGTCGCTCTTTGACCCTCGTGTGCCGTGCCGACCTTCGTACCGTGCTCGCGAACAGCACTTGCCCCAATAGTCTGTTAAGGCTATACAGAGGATCTATGTCTTTGTGTGATAGGTGAGGGGGCGGGCAGCAGTAACGGTGTGTCGGAGGGAAAGCCGCCCGGCTCTGCCCGGCACGGCAAGCACACAGCCAACCACAACGGCAGCTCCAACACAGACGACAGCAGGTCAGTGTCGCCGGCGTTCGTGTGCGCGCGGTGGCTTGGCTCCTCGGCGCCCTGGCGGGGGGGGGGAGCCGCGTGCCATGGTGACCTGTAGAGCGGAGAAGCGACGTGCGGAAGCCGTCGTGGCAGCCCGCGTGCCCTGTAAGCTGCCAGCGGAGAATTGAGAATTGCCAATGTCTGTGTGAATACGAGCTGATTTCAACCGCAGCGGGTCAGTGTTATTTTTTCGCGATGAAATATAATAGCCACCCGGTCGTTGTCTTGAGTGTCCATCTCGCTAAAGTAGAAGACTCGGGGGCTGGTAAAAGCGTCTTTGGATGTTAACTCTTGTCAGTGATCAGCAGCGACGCCTCCCTTCTTACGTGGCTCACTCCACCTCTCATTTAATGACACGTAGCCAACCCCCCTGTTCTCCCCCGCCGCCGCCCCCCCCCCCCCGTGTGCACGCCCGCAGCAACGGGGATGACGACGATGACGAGGAGGACGAAGAAGAGGACGAGGAGGACGACGAGGAGGAGATGGACTACTACAGCAACGGCGTGACGGAGCCCGCCGAGACCAATGGCGTTCTTAACGGCAGCTGTAAGCACGACGGCGTGGTGACAGCGCGCCACGACGAGGAGGAGGAGGACGAGGCCGACATGGGTACGGCGCGTGGGTCTCCCGTCGCCCCCGTAGGGTTTTATTAACATTGCTGTTTAGCTATTTTTATTGTACCAGATAAGGCCTGTTGAGGATGTACAGCTCTTTTTCAGAAGCGACCTGGCCACAAATGATAGCTCAACGAAGTGGAGCTTCGTTACTATTAATGCGTGTTCGTTATAAATTTCGAGGGAAAAACCGGAAGACCCGGAGAAAAACCCACGCTCCCCACAGGGAGAGAGACACCGCAAACTCCAAATATACAGCAGCAGGCGTCAGGGTCGGGATCGAACCCACGACTTCCTGTATACCGGGCGAGGTAGTTAACATCTCACCACTGTTTCCCAGCGTGCGGAACCCCGCGGTGGATTCCGCATCATGTACTCATCCCGAGTGAGTCGTGAGCGTCGGCCGTACTGAGGGTTTCCCACAGAAGGCGATGGCGCCTGCGAGTGTCGCCCGTAGTTTTGTGTTGCCCAGAGTGAGTGTTGTTCCCTTTCGCGAGTCGCACGTAGCGAACATTTCCCGTCGCCAGTGCACCATGCTGTGTTCCCCGCACCAATTGTTTTACATGAGTGTGTTGCGCGTGGGTGCCTTGTGCACGCTGTTTGTGTGTACCTGTGCGTGTGCCGGATGCGGTCTGTGCAGTGTCCGGTCCGCATGATGTGCATTGTAAGTGCGGTGGATGTGTTGTGTCTGTGTGTGTGGTGTTGAACTGCCATTTGTCCGGTGCGTGTGCTTCTTGCGGTTTGGGTAATGTGGCGTGCGCGGTGTGTTCCAGACGTGGACGTGGCTGGCGTGCGGAGGCAGCTGTGCGGGGGGTTCCAGGCGGCCGTGGAGCGAATGATCCAGTTTGGCCGGGAGCTACAGCTCATGTGCGACACGCTAACCCGCGAGGACGGCAAACACACCGCCGACAACGCGCGCACGCTGCAGGCAAGCCCACACACGCACACACAACAAGAAATATCCCCACGTATAGCCTGAACAACGGAATGTTGGGGCAAGTGCTGTTAGCGACCATCATGTATGAAGGCCGGAACGGCACACGAGAGAGAGGGGTGGCCACCATCACGTTCGGATGCCTTTGTCTCCCTAGTGGCGATGTTTACACTCCGCACCAGGTACTCATTTGAGGCCGAGTCGACCTCGGGGAGGCCCAGGACCGGCTTAGATAATTGTCACTTTTGTTGCTGGTGGCCGTGAGCGGGAATCGAACTCGCACCGCCGGGTTCGTAGTGCAGCAGCGCCAACCTACCACACGACGTGCACTACGAGCACGGCGATCCCCGCACTCTTGCCGTTCAAGGCGGCATTCGCACTGGAGAGAAAGCGTCCGGAGACTTGGTCATGAGCGGAGCTTGGAGATCGGGGTGTCGACTGCAACAACTTTTCTGGGATCTTTGCAGAAGGCAGGAAGCGATGGCAGCGTGGTGGCATCACAAGCATTGATCATAATGATTTAGATTTTTTGTTTACTCTTGTGCAGAATGTTTGGCGTCTTCGACTGTGGATTTCATGCAAAACTGCGCGTTATAATATAACTTCCCCAAAAATTATTTTCAATTTCACGGCTAACAAGTCACTTGTGTGTTTACTTTGTTGTCCTTCCACACCTCGAATTATCACGGTTGGCTACGAGCGGGGCGACGGAAGTTCGACGTACATGCACATTTGTTTGCAAAGAGCACGAGCCTCGAGTGCCACTGAGAAGGGGATAGACACCAATGTCACTGCTGAAACACAATTTGCCATTAAACCCACACGGGGTGACGCACATGCAACATCGGGATGGGGAAAACACATCACTTGGTAAACTTTGTTCTTCCATTCGCAACGGTATTCTTTAAGTCGTCAAATTAAAAATATTTCACTTTCTTTTTTGTAGAAATTTTATCCAAATAGAAAAACACAAAACCTTACGATTGCTTTTTTACAGCAGAGAAATGAATAACGGATCAAGACTTTAAATGCCGAATTAGGATTGTACGTGCAAAAGAATAACATGGTGTGATCAATGGTAATTGCGAATGGTGTGAATCAGAATCAGAAAGGGTTTTATTCGCCATGTAAGTTCACACCGACACGGAATTTACTTTGGCAGGATGGTGCATACATTCAACATATAGGAATCTAAAATCTTAAATAAGTTTTAAACAAGTCTTACTATAATAAGGGTTAAAAGTCTAACACCAAGGGGCTGAAGTATATAAAATTAAATAAATATCGAATATAAAACAGCTTTAAGATAAATTTAAAAATAAAAAATACAAAAAATATATATAATATCACGCCCTTTCGTTTTCAGCCGACGCAAGTTTCAATCGGTTGCCTTGGGCATCGTGTGGCGTTCGGGGGGGGGGGGGGGGGGGGGGGGGGCTGGAATTTTTTTGGAGCTGTTGTATTGGCGGGGCGGGGGCTAGGAGCGTTGTGCATATTGCCTCTGTAGACCGAGTGCCATGCGTGGCGTTTGCGTGCGTGCGTTGGTGCAGGACGCGTTCAGCTTGCTGGCGTACGCCGACCCCTGGAACAGCCCTGTGGGCTATCAGCTCGAAGCCACGCAGAGGGAACAGATCTGCAGTGCACTCAACAGCACTATCCTAGGTGCAGCATTCGGACACATGCGTGTGTGGACACAAGTGGCCTTGACATTCCACTGCCAGGATGCGTTATTACAATGTAATTGGTGGAAAAATTTAGCATCCTTTTTTTCGCGTGAGAGTCTTCTGAAGAATAGGTGACCACATTTGCTATGCTTGGTCTAGCCATGTGGCCAGCCATGTGGCCAGCCATGTAGCTGGCCACATGGCTATGTTCGAAATGCTTGGTGCAAAATTGGGAATATTCAAGTTCTCTTCCTTTTAGGGGTCAGTTCATCTCTTCATCTGTTTGTGGTCACCGTGGGCATCGACAGTCAGTAGTCATCCTACGTTGGGGGGTACTAGCCAGTTGCGTAGGAATGTGAAATTTCCATCACCAGCTCAGGGCTGCAAAAGTAAATGTTGAGTACCGGTCCGTTGCCAAATTGATCAGGATTATTACACTGTGGCTTGTCGAATGCGAGACCCGCGGCCGAGTGGCGACGTCTGACCACGTTGCCTGTGTGCTGCTGCTGCTGCTGCTGCCCTTGTCTCTGCAGAGGCTCAGGGCCTTCCCAAGCAGCCGGCGCTGCTGCTGGCCGTGGGGCAGGTGACCGAGTGCCTGCGCCTCATGTCCCGCTCCAGCCTCGGGGCGTGCGCGTTCGCGCGGCTCGAAGACTACCTTTAGTGTCGCACGCAACGCACGGGGGGGCGTGTGCGTCGTGCGCGTGGTGCGTGCGTGCGAGTGTTTTGGAGCGAAGAAGAGCCAATGCATGCGCTCCGGAAAAAATACGACCCAGCCAACCCGACTCACTATTATTTTTGTTTATTTTGTTGCACACGCGCATGATGCACCCGCGCGCTACGGGCAGCCTGCCCCCACCGCCCGGTGGAGCTTCGGGGGTCGCGCACAGAGACAAACGCCACGAGCGCTCGGCTGCGCTCGTGGCGCTCGCCGAGACGCGGGCGATGGGGGACGAGTTGCGCGTCCCGCCGTGCCCCGCCGTGCCCCGCCGTGCCCCGCCGTGCCCCGCCGTGCCCCGCCGTCCACCTCAAGCTGCCCGGCACAAACGGAGCAAGGCTCGCCGGGGTTACAGCGGCGATGTTAACCACCCACGGACTAAGCGTGTGTTTTAAAAGAAGTTTTTATTTCATTGTTGTGTTTATTTTCTCCCCCCCCCCGCCCCTTCCGATATTGTAAACGTTTTGCTTTTGAGTGAAATAGAAAGAGAAAGTGAGAGAGAGAGATGCATACTTAAATATAAAACTAAATATTTGCAGGGCATTTCTTCAACTCGCCGTCGCCTCGTTCGTGACAACTGGGTATGGGGATGGCTCTACACGGGGCGGCTTTAACGAGGGTGTTCATTAAACAAGTGTGTGTGTGTTTTAAAGGAGATGAGATGCCGGTGTTGAGGTAGTGGAAGTGTGGAGATGTGGTGTGCTGGATGGCTTTGCAGTCAAACTGCTCGCCACGCTCGGCCTTTGTGCATTCAATGCGTGACGCCGACCGTCACTGCCCGCTAACGACCCCTCGTATTGGTAACGCCGAGAGCGCAGCGCGAACACCGAAGGTGAACGCCGGCAAACCTGCAGCGCCGGGACTTGGCGATCGGGGAAAGAAGACAACTATTAGGCGACTGAGCGAACATAGCCAGCCAATCATAACGTGTAACCCTGTCTGCAATGCTAACCTCACCAGCCAACCAGACCTGCGCCCTACCCCCGTGTTCTTAACCAAACAGACTAACACGACCCCCCCCCCCCTCCCGGCACACGCTCCACTTGGAGCACATCCATCATTGTGACCCAATCCTCGCTGATGCTTCGTGCAACTCCCATTTTACTGTTCGTGGTCTTTCCACTCGTGGTGTTTACAGCGCCCCCTGCTGTCACGTGGAGTTTTTCAATAAGCTCGGCATTCGTGTACCAAGATCGGAGCCCAAATCCCACGTTGACAGTTGCACACTACTTTATTGCCACACCAGACTGCCCGACCCCGCAACGTATCTGTACCAGTTGTCCAAGTCTCCGTTTCAAGAGATCGATGAAAGTCGTTTGACTTTCATCGTACGTGGCCAATTAGTACATGGAAATCGATTTGGTCTGTGTTTGGGGCAGCCCTAATTCAGGCCGTGCTTCCATTTCTTCTGACAGAGGGTTGGGGGGGAACGAGAGCTCCGTGCGTCTCGTCGGGCCTCCTAAAGCCTCCCCCGGTGCCAGCGCGTAGAGGGCAGTGGCAGATGCATTCATTCATGAAGATTTTTTTTTATGATGGGGGAAAATAAAAAGCGCGTACAAGTCGTATTTTAGCAAAAAAACGACTGTGGACTTGCTTCAGTGCACAGAGTATTACTATTGTTGTTAGAGAGGTCGGCGGGTGAAAGAAGACGGGGGTGTTTGATTTTAAGCGAATTTGCGGTTGTGTTTTTAAAGCGAGTGTATTGCCGAGAAAAGTCGCGGCTGAGACGTGCGCGACGAGCAAGCGAGCCGCGTGTGAGCAAGCCCACGAGTGAGACACGCAACGAGCGAGCCGCGTGTGAGCAAGCCCACGAGTGAGACACGCAGCGAGCGAGCCGCGTGTGAGCAAGCCCACGAGTGGGACACGCAGCGAGCGAGCCGCGTGTGAGCAAGCCCACGAGTGGGACACGCAGCGAGCGAGCCGCGTGTGAGCTCGGCCGTGCAGCGCGCCTCCCACCAGTGCTGCGTCGGAAACAACAACGCCTCCCCCCCCCCCTCCACTGTGCGGACCGCGCAGACGTGTGGGACGCTTTGTGTTCGTTCACACGGTGTCATTTATTTTTGTCCATGACCGTATCCATGACGGTATCACCCCCCACCCCAATTAATGGAAACATTAATTCTGAAGCATAAAACTTTAGCTGCAGGAGACCGGGTTTCGCTTAATGGCACACGGGCGACGCGCCAGGAGAGACTGAAAGGAGGCGGCGGCGGCGCATGGTGATGTGACGCGACGTGATGGCGGGCCGTGGGGGTGAGGTTCGTGTAAAAGCGGCGGCGGCGGCAGCGGCTCATCCCATTTGTTCGCGGTGCGTCTTCCTTTCCCATTTGGCTTCTCAATATGAAATTTAACGCCGAGCAAATGAGCGGCACTCCGGTCGGAGCGCTCGCCATCAGTAGGCTGCGATTCGGGACATCAACAGTGGGGTCATCCAATTTGAATACACAGGCCCCTGTCATAGGAATGTGAAATGTAACGCAAAATCAACTGCTTCGCCACCAGTGGAGGTCAGTGCCCACCCCATTGCTGTTGATGCTCAGAAAACAAAAACCTCGTCTGGAGCTGTGCGCGCGTCCTGACAGTGGGTCTCCTGGAGCAGAGGTTCACAGCCACCGATCGCAGTCCCAAAGCTGGACTACAACCCAAGTCCAAACCCTTAAATAACATACACCTCGAGTTGTACTTTTCATGAGTTTTACAAAAGCATTTACCATAGCAATGAAACGGCAAATGTTGTAAACCTCACTCTTTCCTTGTTTTCCTTTCTATGTTGTGCCCAAAATATCTTGCGTTGGTCCTTTATCAATAGTGCTGTGGCCTGGAGAAATTTGCATTTGTAACCTTCGGCGGTGAGAACCAGCGGTGCATCGCTTGGTGTTAAAGAACTGCCTCTCGGAAGAAGATGCCGTAGGACTACTTCTAGGGGCTCTTCACGATGCCTCTTGCACACACTACCACGTGCCCTGCACAAAGAGATGCAATCCGCCAAACGAAATGACAATTCAACCGTTGGCGTGTGGCCGACGCGAGACCGCTTGCCGTAACCCGCGAGATCGGTTTAACCGTGGGGCGGCTGCCTTTGCGTGGTCCCAGGCTCTCGGCAATGCCTCCCTCCTCGGTGCTCTTGACGTGGTGCTGGCTCCCCGATCCGCCTGGGGCCACCTCTACATTTGCCTGTTCCATTTAAATCTCGGATAACGTTTTGAGCGCACGGGGGTCAAAAATCCGACGATTAGCACGGTTGGCTACGTACGGTGCGAAAGAAGTTCAACGTACATATGCATAAAAAAACAACTCAACTGAGGCTGCTCAAGGATGTTGACTGGCTCGCCCGTGGCGTTGCTCGCCGAGTCCATGGGGCTGTGTACGAATCAACTTCTCTTGAAACTGGCAGGGGGCTTGCAATGCCACTGGGCTCCTTGGAGCCTCGCCGTGCTCTGATTGGATAGGCGCGGACACGTGGCTCGTATCTTATGCGAGTGGCGATTGCACATTTGATTTTAAAACTTACACATTTGAAACATTTCAAATTTACTCATCATGAAGTTCGATCAGTTTGAACCATGTTTGGTGCGTTTTGAATATATTTTTTTGCGTGTAATGCACCAAATTGCTTGTGCGCATTATCAAAGCGTGTTGGTATAAAACTCTTTGAACAGCACTATCTCCTTCATTTGTGGGTTTTGGAAATGCGCATGGCCCCGATGTTACTCGCCGCGGCTCCAAGTGGACGTTGCGGCCCTCCGTGGCCATGCTGCCTAAGGTCCCCCGCGCCATGCCGGCTGATGATGCTAGCGGCGGTGACCACACTTTGTAAGCTAAACAATAAGAGGTAAAGTTACGAGCATCAATTAGTCATTTTTATTTTCAATGATTTCATGTTTTTTATATATATAAAAATAAAATATTCAGCGTATAAAAAGTACCAAGTTTTTACGTGCTACGCGACCAACCGCCCTTGTCTCTGTACGCCTGACCACGCCGAGACGCTTTGCCTCTTAAGGGGGGGGACACGTAACCTGGGAGAGCCGTCTAGCGAACGGTCGAGAGAGGTGCGGGAGCCACATCGTCCCAAAGAGAATGGGAATGGTTGTCTGGCTCGGCCAGGCCCAACACCGCACGGAGACACGAGAACATTGCTTTGGTGAACGTTTACCGCGCGACACCACGGCGTTGTGAAGTGTTGCCCGTCGTGTGTGTAACTGCTGCTGCTGCTCCTACGCGTACTTCGTGAAGGACCACCTGCCAATACCGACGTGCTGGCGTTATCCATTGCTAAGTTCCTATTTTCATTTGTGCCTAAAAGGTCCCCTCTGCGTGTAAAGACGCTGTTTTGTTCCAAAGGGATCCTACCTAGGAAGACCGACGGGCATTCATTGATGAGGTCGCTGTTGGTATACGTGGGAGAAATCCAGAGTGGAGAATGAAAATGCACATACAGTACACGTGTAGGTCAGAGACGGGCTCACTCTGCTGCACCATCCCGGCTCGACTTGAATGCCCCAGCGTCTCGGGCGCGTCATATTCACCGCCCTCGTCACGCCCCGACGATTTCAGTCTCCCACAACCCTCCCCCCGGCCCGTGTGCCGCATGGTTGGCCGTGACCGTGCGTGACCCCCGGCAGTCACGACGGCATCGTCAGGTGTGGCCGTGACCCCCCGCCCCCGCCGCCGTGTGTGGTGACGCTCCGCACAATGTTCGCCACCGGGCCCCGCGTCCCCTGGGTGGTGCCGCCTCTCGGCGCCGATTTCTGGGCTGCGCGCAGGGCCCCGATGCAGGTAGCGCAGAGACGGGCGGCCGGTGCAGCTTCGCGGAATCCCATGTCCACGAAACGTGAACCAAACTTTTAATCGATGCAATAAACTCGAACCTGAACCGGTTGAGTTTAGAAAGATCTTTCCCCTTCGGGAGAATTCCGTGACTTGTAAAGTGGACTTTTTTTTCTCCTTTCCTTTCCTTCCAGTGATCAATATATGGATACAAAGTAATCTCACTTGTACTCGGTGTCCGTCCGCCTGCCTGTTGTAAACACTTTTGCACATGTGTTGCGCCATCACATGCTCCACGGTATCCTTCAAGCAAAGCAACCTCTTAATTTCAACAATACCCAGTACACATCGGAGGTTGTAGAAATTGTCCAAAATATATTTTTTTAAAGATTGGGTAGGATATAAATTGAATTTGTTAAACTTATAGATAATTGGAGTAAAGCAAACTTAACTCTGTTTTCATATATTCTACAATGCATGCGTGAAAAAACCGCTCCTGACTTGAGCTGATTGGCCCACGGCATCGCTGCCGTAAAATCCGATCGATTCGTGGCGGGGAATGCGTCTCGCCGTGGCAGTGCCAGCTCAAGCCGAGCGGTGGGCTCCCGTGCGTGGAAGCCGATTCGAGAGCACCGATCCCCCGTTGTGAACCTGAGGTAGCGTTGTGTCGCCGGCGTGGCGTCACCTGGCAGTGAGCATCCTCGAGAACCAGCGCGGACTGGCTTTGCCAGCCGACTTGTTCTTCTCTCCTCCAGGTCCAGTTCAGGTTTTGGTGTTTGCAGCCCCGTGAGTGTAGGGACCGCATCCCGTGTCGGATCTTTTCCAGGGCGTTCAGGCTCTCGTGTGGACTCCTCAATGACCGCCTGTTTTATTTGAACGTCTTCCCTTTCGGTTTTTTTGGCATTCGTTATCACGCGGCTGCTCAGTGTGGTTCCGGTTTCCTTGGCCTGGCCACTTTGTCGCCATTCCCTCCAAGCAAAAGTTGCTCTCGAAGAGTACCGCTGTCGCCCGTCCAAGATAAATTAAATAAGTTCTCGGATTGTGCCGTCGCTGACGATCTGTGCTGCTACGCGTTGTTTTTACGTGGGGCCCGGCGGACCGCTGAGGCATCGACAAATTCACCAATTACGAGTCGCCAATCGCAAAGCATTTCCGACGCTCATGATGATGATAATGCTTGCATTAGAATCTGCTTTGATTTATGCAACAACATATGCTCGTTACATACGCCGGTGTAATGTAGGCTAATGCAGAGAACGACTCCAGTTGAGAGAACAAATGGAAAACGAGACGCAAAATGGACCACTGAATGGCGAGCCCAGATTTGTGACAATCCGCGAGACCGTGGCGACGATGCGAGACGTTGCTAGGGCAGCGTGATGCTCCCTTTGACTACTTACACCCTTCGGGTGCTCGTTCTGCGCTGTTGGTTACGTATGGTGTGGAAGAAGTTCAACATACAGAGCAGAAGTGGGCGGAGGGGGGGGAGGGAGAAGCTCAGCTGGGCCTGAGCAGTGATAAAGTCGGGCAGAACGTGCGCAGCGCTTGCATTTAGGTGTTGTGTGATGCAAGTTCAGGTGGCGAGGTGGCTCGGAGGTCAGTTCGCCGAGCCCGAGACCGTTTGTAGTAAGTTGTTGGCCTCAGCCTGGTGTCACCGATGACTGCACGAAAAAAAAACAGTCATTGTGATGTGGTTCTGAAACTTAATTGGGCTACATTCCATAACATTGGTTTTCAGTTTGACTGTTATTGCTGTCAGTAGCAGGGCAGGTGAGAAAGTGATCTTCCCTTGCATATGGACTAGAGGTCACTCGAAGGGATCTCGAGGTGGTTCTGTGTAATCTGCTTCTGTTGGCTGTTCTCTTAACGCACTGTTCCGTGACAGATCCGAATGAACGCTTTTGTCTCGTGACATGACGTCAATAACACAATTTAGGTAGAAACGATGTTTGAGGTATTTTTAACAAGATTTTTTTTGGGTGAACAACACTCAGCGTACCATCTTTGTCGGCTCAATTTCATGTCGGCCGAAGGGCCCGGTGTAAATCCAGCTGCTGCATCTCGAAGTTCGATTAGTTTAATATTCAGGCCACAGTGGGGAGAGGGCTCATAGCTTCATTGCAGCCAAGCATAGGCGAGGCATTGGTGAGTTTGCGTCTCCATTTGTCGCAATGAGTGAAGCGTGCGGAGCGAAAAGACGCTACCCCAAATTGTGTCAATTCCTTGCAAACTGACGGCGTCAGCCCTGTCGATGATTGAATCTTGGAATGTTGCTGTGCCGCGCGTCTCCCAGTGGTGTTACTGTAAAATCAGACTTTGAGCCATGAAATCGGCCCGAATTCTGGTCTCCCAGAAGCTATGTTTGAAAATGTCGATCCTGACTGAATAAGTGGCCTTGTGTTGTTAAAGGCTTTAGATGTTACTGTGCACGGGTGTGGTGGGGTGAAATGCAGAAAGGCATTCGATGTAACGTTGTAGTGTAATGTCGGTGAGGGCAAGTATATGGCACGTGCCTCTGTCCCGCTTGATGTTACCGCTCTCAATCCGTCTGTCGTCAATAACACGTTTACACTTTAGGTCAATGTGCAATGCTGGGGGAATTTTCACCGCTACAGAGTCGTGAACAGACAAGGTCTAGGGGTGTTTCAAGAGGCGCCGAGTCAGAATTGGGAGGTTAAACGCGGATGGGGTGTCGCGCGCGCTCGGCTGAGAAGGCGCTCGCACGTTCAGCATCAGTTGCCCACGTTCAGCATCAGTTGCCCACGTTCAGCATCAGTTGCCCACGTTCAGCATCCGTTGCCCACGAGCCCCCGCGTGATTTGTACGATCGCAGCTGCCGCTCTGCTCTTGCCCGAGTGGTGGTTGGGGCTGTCTGTCGGGTCACCGTCGGCCCTCTTGTTCGGGTCGCCCATCACTAACTCTGGCGGGTTTTGGGACGCCCTCGTGCGTGCCATGACAGGCACCTCGTGCCGCGAGTTAGACTGCGACGCAAACCATAAACCACATTGCTTCTATGTCGATCATGGACACGATCTATGCGGGGCAATGCGTACATATAAAAGATAATGTGTTTGCACGTTAAACATTCTGCTGCTCCAGGACGGTGCGATGCCCTCGCGGCTATTGAACGCCGCCCGGACGTTCCGAGCGCTGTGGACTCGCTTTGTGCGGCTCCTACTGTGCGTCATGACATCGTTGGGGGGGGGGGGGGTCACAGTGGCCCCAGCGTGTGGCTGCGCTTTCGTCTTCAGCCTGCACGACGCGGAAAGAAGCGTGCCTCGTCGCGAGAGTGCGGTATCCCGTGCTGCGGTGCATGCTGGGCATTCTGAACCCAGTGACGTCGATGGAGGGAGGCAATTGCGGCGGCGGCGGTGCACGTGAATGTCGCGTGGGGTTTTTTTTCCCCCCTCCCATTTTAAAATTAAAATGCACGTGGGACGGCCCCACAATACACAGCTCGCCTACAAGGCAACCCCCGTGTGTGCTCCCTTAACATCAGCGATGATAACGTGCAAAGGTGAAAGGTACCCGTGCTGCAAAGAATCATGGTAAATACCACACAGTCAGTTTGGAGTTCGATTTCCCGCAGCGGCCAGGTAATTTCCGCAGGGCATTATTGGAACCAAAGGTGTTGACCGCTGCCAGGCGGATTCCGACACGGAGCGCTAGACCACGATGTGCCTTCGTCTTAGCTCAAATGTCTCCGTGTGAGACTGCCCACGACTAAATTGTTAAATTATTATATTTGTTCCTACGGAACAACAGTATGTCCAGGTATCCTATGCAGCTAATGATGAATCGGGCTCTCATTCGGTTAAATGGGTCATTGTTGGGCGCCGTTCCCCGCATTTGCCGATCTGCTAAAAAGAAAGTTTGCATTATGAGACCTCCTTTGCCAAAAACAAGATATAGTAATAGGCTTTACCCTTTTAACTGGCACAAAAACTGACACCTTTATTCAAGGCATCATGTTTGCAATAACCACAACACAAGCAGTCAAAATGCATTTTGAATGCTTGTGTTGTGGTTATTGCAAACATTTTGAATGCTTGTGTTGTGGTTATTGCAAACATGATGCCTTGAATAAAGGTGTCAGTTTTTGTGCCAGTTAAAAGGGTAAAACGTATTACTAGAAAGTTTGCAGTTGTCATTTGGAAAAGCTGCGGTGACGGAGAGCACCGCGGGCCGTGCGTCCAGAACCACCCCTCCCCCCGCCGATTGGGGGTCGCACGCAGCCAGCAGAGCACTGCCTCGAACGCCACTCGCTGCAGCGTGCGTGCTCTATCCACCTTTAGCAACCTTCGGTATAACAACAAGAAGTCCTCGTGAACGCCCATTGCACCTGATGATTGCTAAACCCGCACTGTTGCGGTGGTCCCTGGCACCCGGTGTTCGAGAAGCCCTGTGCTGCTGCGTGTTGCCACAGACGGTGGAACTGGAAAGAAGTTTGTCCTCTTTCCTACACGGCTTCAAATTGTAGACAGCCGCAATGTAGCGACAAACATAGCCCGCTATTATAATGGTCGCTTTACAAGAACGGGGCTCGCTATATTTGTTTTTGTCTTGCGAGTCTTGCAGCATTGTGGGTATTTCCCATGATGCCTTTTTAGCTTGCACACCTTTTACCGACAGCAGCGGTTCTTAACCTTTACAACAGCCCTCGTTACAAAAAATTATAGAGGGTTTGATGGAATAAAGTAAGTTGTAATTTATGTGCCCGTGCTTAATTTGTGTTTCGATTATTTACCTTCTAAACAAATCTGGCCATGTCTCGCACCCCCAGGGGGTGCCTGATGCACCCCAGGTCAAGAACCACTGACCTAAAGGAGTCGTACAACATTATCGAACATTGCCGAGAGGGTTCACGGGAAATTAATTTACCACATTTCTCGTAAGAAAACTGTTCTCAGAGAATTCCGGGTTTTTTTTTCCTCTCAACCATTTTGGCGATGTTTAAAAGAGGATTGAACGTCGCCGCACTCACGAACGTTTGGGTATTCTTGTGGTGCACGTTGTTGATGTTAAACAGACCTTTCAGTGTACAAAGTACATTTTTGTTACCGGTTCAAGGGGTTGTTGTTATCTTTGGCGCAGAGAAGGGGTCGTTTCGCCGCCAGTGAAGGAACTCGCGTCGCCGCTTGCGCGTTGTGCAGTTCGGTTCCACGCGAGTTCTGCTGCTGCTGCTCTCGCTTACACCACGGCCCTGTGCTGCTCACCTCCGAACCCACCCAGTGGCGGTGCCGAGTTGTGTGTGGACCGGCACGGCTCGCGTAGTGGACCGGCACGGCTCGCGTAGCGGACCGGCACGGCTCGTGTAGCGGACCGGCACGGCTAAATGCCGTGCGAGCGGTGAGGGTGCTTCGCACGAGGGTTGGGGAGGCAGGGAGAGTTGGGGAGGAGGAGGGGGGGGGGTAGTTTTGCTTGCCGAGTTCCGTTGTGTCCTCCAGGCGCGTCCACCACACCCGGGCGATCCGTTGCGCAATGTGGGTTGCATGCAACCGAATCGCTCGTGCGTGGACGTCTCTGGCGCCATTTGCGAGCAGTTGCACAAAGGTTGCTTAAAGTAGAGAGGCAACGATCCGCTCGGCGATTCGTCGTGACGTTTTACCACCATGTGCACGTTTACAAACTCCGATTGATCGGTCGTTACGATCCACGGCACACCAAACGCTGCCGAGTCTCCAACTCTACTCGATCGGATGTCGACAAAGCGGTTGCAGGGCTGGCGATGGTCGAAGTTGCATGGTTTTCAGAGGAGGCGGTATGGTTGCTGACCGCTCGGGGCACGGAGCCGACGTCACTCGCCTGGTCACATGGTGGAGTCGCAGAGCATTTTCCTGAAGGATGGAACGGCGGGTGGCCTCTCGTTCCCGTTTCGCTTCCGTCCCATCCCAGGATCCACTGGATTTGCCGGTCCATCCACTCCGATTCTGTTCGATGTTTCTTCAGCTGCGAGTTTTTATTTTACTTTTTTTTTAATGGTGAAGTGGGCAATAGAAGCAAGCCTGTACAATGCAGTGTTACTTTGGGTTTCAATTATATATTTTTTAGTTTAAATGAAACAGTTGAAGTCAATTGCATTTTCTATTTTATCTCTGTTACGATTTTCAAATATGGTTTTCGCCGGGATTTTTCGTCCCATGGAAATGTTTGTTTGATGTTGGCTTTCCCCTTGGTATGCAAGTGAAACGTGTGACGTGATTTATGCATTTTTTTTGGGAGACTGCCGAGGTCTGGAAGGAGAGAGCTGCTGAGATGTAGAACTCAATCTCATGAAACCAGACCAAAGTCAGAATTTGACTTTCGCCTTTTAATCTTTTAACCTGAATCCTAAAGCTAATAATTCCTTCTTGGGATTCCAGAACTCACACTAACTACCTAGTAAACTCGAACCCGTGCTATTTCCACTATGAAGAATCCTGTGCTTTTTCGTAATCCATTCGTATTCATAATCCTGCACTCATGCCACACCGATATATGTTCAGGAGTTGTCAGCTTCTGTTGCACCATCTCCCGGGATATCTCGCGCAAAAGTCGCCATCGCACGCGCTGGCTTCCACCGTCTAAGCCAGACGTCACGTCACGTGACGTCAGGCTGAGCACCAAACGTCCATGCAGCATCTCGGGCTTTTGCGGTTTATAATTACAGTCAACTAGCCTACAGCGTGTTTGAGAATTAACAGTTTCAGTTAAACTAACAACTATAAACATTTTTATTTATCCAGGTAAGGCCCACGCTGAGTTATATAGCTCGTTTTTAGAAGCGACCTGACCACAAATGATAGCTCAACGAAGTGGCTTATCGTGTGGACATTTATAGCAGCCAAATACTCTAAATGCATGTTTCTAAATGTGGAAGGGAAAACCGGAGGACCCGGATTTAAAAAAAAAAACATGCGATCACGGGGAGAGAGAGACATGCAAACTCCCAAATATACAGCAGGCGTCGGGGTCGAACCCACGACCTCTTGTATACCAGGCAAGGGAGGTAACATCTCGCCTCCGTGGCGCCCAGTTGGTGGAGCAATGTTGAATCAGAAATCGGGCATTGTCGTTTCGAGAGCTGCGCTATCCGGTTGTGGAGGTAATAGATCGCTTTCGTGATTATGGGAACGGCTACCCGATAATCGAGTAACACAAAATTAGTTTGGGGGTGTGGGGGGAACTCACCTCCGTGTCCAGGTGTGCCGCTGGACGGGAGGTGATGAGCGTGGCTTAGTAATGTCATTGTCATCTTCCATCAGCAGTGTCGCGTGGGTGTGACTTGTAAAGGATTTCCCGCCTTCCTCTTTTTAAGACGGCCCGAGTAATCGACCACAGACAAAAGGAGTATTAATTGACTAAGTGTACCGGCTCTAGTCACGTTCAATGAATGCCACACTCCGGACAGCAGCACCTTCCCTCGCAATCACGTTGCAAACGTCCTTCACTGCGTGCTGCGGGAGTCAGTGTGCGGGATGGTGAAGTGACTGATGACAGCAGCTGCCCACCTGGTGGGAAGGGCTGGCTGTTGAGGGCGTGCTGCCCGCGTGTTCACGCGCCGCACCGCCCACGTGTTCACGCGCCGCACCGCCCGAGTGTTCACGCGCCACACCGCCCGCGTGTTCACGCGCCGCACCGCCCACGTGTTCACGCGCCCCACGTGTTCACGCGCCCCACCGCCCACGTGTTCACGCGCCCCACCGCCCGCGTGTTCACGCGCCGCACCGCTGGCTCTCGTTTGTAAATCGACGCAGCGGCTTCGCACAGGGGAGCAGACAGAAGTCAGGGAGTCCTTCACTGTTCACTTTTGTTCATTATTCGCAATTGCCATTGATCACACGACGTTTATCTTTTCCACGTACAATCCTAATTCGGAATTTTGATGTCCTGATCAGGTATTTATTTCACTGTTGTAACAAAAAAAAACACTCATCAGGTTTTGTGTTTTTCTATTTGGATTAAATTTCTACAAAAAATAAACCTCGATATTTTTCATTTCATTTTACGACTAAAACAATACCGTTGCCAATGAAAGAATAAAGTTTATGAAGGAATGTGTTTTTTTTTTTCCCCATCCCGATGTTACATGTGCGGTCACCCCGTGTGGGTATAATGGCAGAATGTGTTTCAGCAGTGACATTGGTGTCTCTCCCCTTCTCAGTGGCACTCGAGGCTCAGACTATTTGCAAACAAATGTACATGTACGTCGAACTTCTGTCGCACCGCACGCAGCACACCGTGATAATCGGAGGTGCGGACAATAAACTGAACACGAATTCCACAATTTCTATTTAAAACTTTCGTGACTGCAGGAATTCATGTTCTTGGTTCTTTCGGTAAAGTCACGTAGAAGGGAAACAATAAAAATATAAAACAATACATTTTATTGTTTTATATATTTGAATAATCCTGGCTCTCGCAACCTCTCACTTTTTAGAAGATACAAACAAAGCGTAAGCTCGACGATGCACGT